AATCAGCAAATTAGATTTAAACCTGAAGATTAAGTCTAAAAATATCTCTCACATGATCAATTAGCTTTAAATAGTCTGCAACAAAGAGATGACATTGTTTTAAAACCAGCAGACAAAGGTGGAGCCATAGTAGTTTGGTGCAATGATTTATATATAACTGAAGATTTAAGACAAATTAACAACAGTAATTTCTACTCTCCTCTTCAAGACAACCCAATTTCTGACTTTAACAACTTAGTAACATCTACAATTCAAGGTATGATCGATGCTGACAAATTACACACTACAGCCAAGAATCTCAGTGTAAATGAACCTAGAACTCCCACTTTCTATCTTCTCCCTAAAATCCACAAAGATGGACATCTGAGCCAACCTAATGTATCTGCATGCAGTTGCCCTACAGAGAAAATTTCTAGTTACCTTCATGAAGTTTTATCACCATTTGTCATGCAATTACTTTAATCAAGAACACACATTTAACTGGTAATGAACACTACATCTTCACCATGGATATAAAATGATTGTACACATCTATCCCACAAATAGGGGGTTTAATTGCACTAAAACATTTCTTAGATCAAAGATCCATACTGGACCCTCCAACACACACACTTCTTCATTTAGCATAACTTGTACTTACACTTAGCATCTTTACTTTTAATGGTAACTACTATGAACAGATCTGCAGAGTTGCTATGGGAACTAAAATGGGTCTCACCTTTGCCAACCTCTTTGTTGAATACACAGAAAATCTTATATTTAATCAATACAATGGATCAGTACCCGTGATGTATCATCACTACATTGATGACATACTAGGGACTGCATCCATGCCTAGATCTCATTAGAAACTTCATATTTCCTCTTTCTAACCCTGTTTAGAATTTACTTAAGAAATATCTGACACAACACTCCACTTTCTCAACATTAACGTATATATACAAGACAACCTTCTGACCACTATTATACATTACAAAGAAACAGATTCACACACATACCAACATTTCGAATCTTCCCACCTGTACAGTAACAAAAAGTCAATACCTTACTCACAATTTCTAGGAATATGCAAGCTATGTAGTGATGATAACGATTATAAATCTAAATCCAAAGACATGAAGACACTACCCTGGTTCTCTCATCTACGATGCAGCCACCAAAGCTAGCTTATACACTCAACCCTACCAAGAATGAACACACCAATCATATTCCACTTGTGTTAACATACCACCAGACCAACAAGATCAAAGATATTATACTAAACAATTACACAATACTTACTGAAGACCCTACCACTAAATCTCTTTTCAAGGACCCACCCATTATTTTTTATAGACATGACAAAAACCTAAAATAAATTCTGGCCCACAGTATCCTTAAAAACAAAATTATACTCCAGGCACTCACTCATGTAAATGAAATAGATGTGTCACTTGCCCACATATAAATTGCACTGCACACATACGAGGAAATAACACAACTTTCAACATAAGACAGTCCATTACATGTACCACTGAATGTATCCTTTACTGTATAATTTGCAATATATGCAATAGTTTATACATTGGACAAACAGACTGTTGACTCGGTGATCGAGCACAAGAACATCTAAACCATATTAAACTGCAGCACCAAGACACACCTATAGATAAACATTTCACCATCAAACCCATACAATTGAGGACTTTTCAATCATTGGCCTTATTAGTGCTCCAACAGACATTCACAAAAGAGAACAACTGGAAAGGAGATTAATCTACAATCTGGGGACCCTACAACCATCTGGTTTAAATGAATGCTTTTCATTCCTTAGATTTCAGTTTTTCCATTTTTTTTTCAATTTTAATTGCTATCTACTTATCTTTTCATGACTTATAATTTTTATGTAATAGATATAATTTTCCTTAGAATTTTCATGCTCAACATTCCAAATACTATGCATGCAAGTTATTTGAATTCTGCACATGCATCTTTGTTGTAAACTGTATGATCTGACAAAGAGTGCTACCTCGGAATGTTATCCTTCTTTAAATAAAAATATATAAAAACTAGGCAATTGTTCAACCTATTATTTAATATGGGTTTAATAAGGGCCCTCCTACTGCAGACTGGAGGAAAAATTCCCAATGCCACCTGGTTTTGGACTGAGGTTAAACCACCACTTCTCTGTCCTACCATTGCTCATATATTAGGTTCCCTGGTGGCCTGGTGTTGGATGTATACTGAGTCAGCACACATGGGTACTACCTGGGATGGCAGAACAGAAATTTGTATTCCCTTCTACTCTCAAGTATGGAAGTGAAGATAGTTGGGATCCTCCTCCTTACTGTAGAACAGATGAAACATACCTCATGTTGCCTAGTTTTGAACTGGAGTTGACCTGTCATGTATGGTCTGACATGGCCTAATCACTCTACACCATAAAGTACGTCCATTTTTCATACTGTTTTTTTGGACTTGCTTCTTTTCCTCTCGACATGGAGATACATTTATTCATTACGGGCAAAGAGTATACCCTGGTACTTACAGAAGGGGGTGTGGTCTCCCACATGTGTGCCCTTATACTTTCAATGTATAAGGTGTCACATTACATAGGTTCTGTTTGGGCACTTTCCAAAGGGGTCTCATCTAGATAACTTTTGCACCAGTCACTCCACAGTTTCAAAGTGGGATTCTAGCTATTATGTGAGAAGAGGTATCATATTGGAAGGTAATATTTTTCAACACATAAAATGTATTTCCAATAATACTTAACTCTTCTCACACTTCCCACCCATCCTCCTCAATTCCATTGCAGCTTTTCTTGTCTAATATCAAAATAATGAGTGTACACTTCACTATTCAGGGAGTCAACTGTTCTAAGAGGGTGTGTCACACTCCCATTGGCGAAGGGTTGACACATGCTACAGTGTAACAAAACCATGTTAAAACACTTGAATTTAGGTGGGATCTTTAAGGCTAGTGGTGAGAAAAGAATTGTGCATATCTCTATATGCAGCACAAATTGAGGAAAGCTATTATGTGAGAGGAGGTATCTATCAGTAATACATTTTCAGTGATGGAAAATGTTACCTTTTGATGTATATTCTCATAATAATGAATAGATTCAGACTTGTATTAATGGGGTGTGTAGTTTATGACAAATTCAGAACAATAGTGAAACAGTAATGCTGTATAATTTAAGTATGAGTTGTGTGTTGTAGAATATAAGACTTAAAAGTAGCACAAGTTTGATGGTTTAACAAATTATAAGAAACAATATTTGAATATTTTTGAAGACTCATTCTTTCATTAATTTATGTTGTGTAGACTTTACCATGCTTATTGTTTTAGAATGTGAAATACAAGATGTGCAGTTAATCTTAAAAAAAAAATCAATAACTGCATATGTGTGTATTACAGTACATGCCATACAAGAAAGAATAAAATCAACAGAATTTTGTTTCAAACATCATCATCACCTCACTAAGCTCAAAACTTGAAACATCTTTACATGTATTTCATACACATGGGATACCAATAGTAATGATGCAGAAGTTCTTTAAATTTATTACTATACATTCTACAAATGTGAATAAACATACACTGTAAGTATGTCAGAGTTAATAAATAAATATTACACTTACAATTCATGGTATTCATTCAAGACAAAGCAATTACAAACAATTGATTATAACGTCACAGTCAGAATTCACATTAATCATAATTTATGTCAGTAACATTGGTTGAAAAATTTAGTTTAAAGAATGGAAAATCAACAGTTTAAGAGCAGAACCTTCAACAGTATTACCGATAATTTAATTTCAGTTGTAGTTAGCTTTTAAAAAAGAACATTCATCTTTGGACACAAACATATTTATAATTACTTTGAGGTTAAGTGAAATTAATCTTTCATTCATGTTTTGAAACTTGAAGGCTTACACCTTTTTGTTACACTGAATAAAAAGGCACTTGTTGCACAGTCCCATTATATATATATTATTAACAAAGGACCACTTCCATAATCTGTACACAAGATCATGTTCATTACTTCCATTATGGTGCCATTTAAACTGAGTTTATAACCTCTGAACAAAAGTAAATGTTTCAAATCATGTCATTATAAGTGACTTTGTAGTATATTCAGGTGAAATTGAATTAACTTAAGAGCTGTATTAGATAAGTCAACCAAACAGGAGATTCTATCAAAATATGATATTACAGAAAAATGCTAAACTGTTACTGGCTGGGTTTAAGCTAAGGAATAAACAGACATGACACAATAGTATTATACACAATTTTTATTTATATGCAAGGACAAAAACAGTGAGTGTACATGCTTATTTATGTTTGAAAGCCACTTCCTTCAAATGTTTATGAAATAGATTATCCATCAGACTGCCTAAATGCAAAGTTTCTAAATAAGAAGAAACCTCACATTTACACATGTATGCTACCATATGACTGTTCATTCTTATTACAAATAACCTCTAAATATTACCCTGTAAAACCACAGAATGAACTACTGTCAACTTTTGGATACAAGGTTGCTGTAAGCAGTAACAGGTATTATGAACCTCAAAAACGACAAAGAAAAAAGGTAATTGAAGCAAGATCAACTTGACAGTTTTCTTGACTATGTGTTGTATGAAAACCTGAACATCTTCAGTACAATGAATAAATAAAGAATAAATAATAAATAATAATAGTGCAAAAAGAAAGAAATTATGGTATATTCCCATGCCACAATTTCTTGGTAGAGAAATATTACATTTTCAAATATTGAAAAATGCTAGTTTTAGCAGTTGGTCATACATATTGAGACTTGCATTTATAAGTTTTTAAAATCAAGAACACATTATAGCAAAAATGAATTTTTGACTAATATGACTTCCCTCAAGTTCAATAGCAGTACCAGTTTTATCAGGAAAGTAGTATAGAATATTATTTAAAGGAAAGTATATTATAGCAAAGTAAACACATTTATGATAATGAGTGAAACTGTTCCTGTTTTACTGTAGATCTTCTGAAGCATACTGTGTAACAGGTACAGAATTGAAAGGCCATCAGTATTCTGGAGTAAGTTGCTATTTTTATTGAATATATTTGTTTTCACATCCTGGTTTCTGATAAGTTTAAGAAAATATTCACAGCTCTAGATAGTGGTGCATGACGTTGCTTATACTGTTAATAAGAGACATGATAATACATGTGCACACTCCTGTTTCATATACTAATGATTAAGAGGCATAATAAAAATATATGTACACTCATGGTGTTTCATGCACTCTTCATAAGTGGCATAATAACATACATATACTCACATGTTTTCTACACTAAATGAGAGGCATGACAACATGTTTCATATAATGTTAACTGAGAGGCATGATAGCATATTTGTACACTCATAGTGTTTCAAATACTGTTTAATGAGATAAATGTACACTTACAATGTTTCATACACTGTTAATTGGTAGCTACAATAAAATGTATGTAAACTTGTGATGTTTTGGTAGCTGTAATAAAGTATATATACACTCATGGTGTTTCATTTAGTGTAAGCTGAGAAGCATAATAAAATGTGTGTACATGCATGGTGTTTCATATACTATTAACTGAGAAGCATGATAAAATATATAATGACATAGTGTTTCATATACTGTTAATTAAAAGTCATCAATAAATTAAATGTACATTTACAGTGTTTTATACACTGTTATAAAATATATGTGCAAGATATATGTACTCATGCATGATTTTTCATATACTGTTAACTGATAGTACAACTTGGATAGTACTGTGTGATGTTTCATAGAGGGTTGTCAAGCCACTCAAATGGCTAGCAAAATATTGTCAATATCTATGAACGTTTTTTGCAAATTCTAAACTGGAAACATGATAAGATGTACACCACTGTTAGGCATAATCACCTTTTATAGTCATTTAGGTATATGCCTAGGTATTTTTCTTCCACAGCCTATAGCACAAACGAATATAGTTGATGTCAATATACTGTGTTATCAGTTCAAATTGTTCAAAAACATAGTTTAAATTAATCTTATGATTATAAAAAGCAATAATATATTACTTGTACACTATCATTTATTTATTTGAAACTTTGGTAACAGAGATAAATCCTGCCAAAAATGAGAATATAGGTTTTTTAACAATGTAGGCTACAGCAGAATGTACTTACTATATCATGAAGTTCTGTTATTATTCTTTTTTTGGATTGAAAATTCCTAGAGCTTAACCTTTTTACTTAATCACTTCTTTAATTTATATTAGTCATATTCAAAAATATAACTCTCACTACTTTTTTCTAAATATTTATTGAGTAATGTTTCACAGATAATAATATACTATCAGTGTTTATAAAAGTTGTATCTTTGGTTTTACACCATGGCAGGTAAGAAAACCCAGCCCTTCTATGATAGCTGGAAGACTTACTCTAAGAACGCCACCATCTGGTGGTCGAATGGGTGAGCACAACTTTGTATTAGAATATCTTTGATAATTTTAAGAGATGTTGTATTGGCACTTTACCTTGTTTACTTACAAGCAATTCTTGAAGATGCTGAGTACTCTGTGACTCAATTAAACCCATAGGATTCTACTAAAAATAATCAGAAATATATCCCCTTTATCACAGGACATATTCCTGGCTCTCCAGTCTATCATGGCAACTCCAAAACAACAGTTAATCAAAGGTACAGTATTTGTTTACTGTTCAAAAAATACTAACTCTTAGGTTTAAATTTTTGCATACTTAGTTCATTATAAAGTAAAAATATTGTTATAACTAGATTATATATAAAAATTATAAAAAATTAGCAAAGCACTCTAGAAAGAGCTCTTACAGAACTGAATGATATGACAAGTTAGGTTAAATTATGAATTAAATATTCTAATTATTTTTTGTGGCATTAGCCACAACATGATCTAAGTGATGTTAAAGATAACGTTCTTATCAAATCAGCATTGCAGAGTATTATTGTTGTTATAAGAGTAACATTAATATAATACATATAGATAGGAAAAGTTTTCAAAAAAGTTTAGAAATGTACATTGAATATCTGTTGTATTACAAATATCAGCTTTTGTTTTTGTTGATTGTTGACTGGAGTCAAGAAATTAGTAAAACTTCTGTGGATTTTTGTTTAAAGAAAGACATTGTCTCAGCAAATATTCTGACTGTCTAGGTAAGATCTGTATCAGCTGAGATAATATATGTGTTGAGCTGGAGCTCTTTTTTTTCTGGTAGTATCGAAATGCTCAGCAATAGTTTTCTTGTTTCACCAATATGAATTTCAGAATAAAATCAATATTTTAGTTCATAAGCTACATTAGAAACAATACATTAATCCCTATAGTAACATGGTATTTCTTTTTACATATTTTATGGCTGTAAGCAGAATTTGTTAGAGTTTGATGCAAAATATGACTGTGTTTCTGTACAACTTTAATCAGAAGGCCAACTATTTTAATACCTTTTGTATTTCTCTTGAGGTGTGGTATGTCATTTTTGAGGCTGTAGTTAAGAAATATTTTGTCTAAGTAATCTTTTTGTTACCCATTATTTTATAATGGATTTCAAATGTTGATAGGCTTCTTTTTTGAAACTGTCATCTTTGTTGTTTTAATTCACAGTTATTGAATCATGTATCACATCATCAAGATGATGAGAGTTGTAATATATAAAAATAGGTTTCATCACGAGTATATGGTAAAGTGTAGTGGTTATTTCTTGATTACTTAGGGCTATTATAACATTTGAAAAATTTATTTTTTATTTAGTATAAGAATAGTTAAGAGTAAATTTGTAACATGTTTAGGACGTTATGGAAACGTTTTAGGTTGTCAAGATCATAATTTCATATACCAAAAATATCATTTATATATCTGAGCCAGACATCTAGTTTTGAATTAGTATCTGTGAGCCAAAAATGTAGAGCCTTGACTTCAGTCATGTACATAAAAATAACTGTGAATGTAACAGCAACTCCTAGTTCTAACGAAATCTAACATACTCCAGTCAGCACTACAAGAATATAGAAAGGTAAAAAATAATTAATCATTTATACAAAGAATCTTTAGCCAATCAAATTGTAGATTATGAAATTATTATAATTTTCCTCAAAATATTATTGTACACAATACTTTTGTGAGGCAGAGTATTTTTGTCACCCTCTACAGGATTCCCGAAGAGCCATGCAGCTCACAAACATCAACACCTACACTTATGCAGATAAGCCCATGTCAGAGTTCTTATAGGTAGATATTATTGGTATTTTAAGGATAAAGATAAAATATTATTAATTTGACAGAATTTTTTTTTTAATTAGTAAAGTTCTAGATATTTATCAGTAAAGGTTTATAAAATAATAACAGTTTGATGTGTAAAGTACTTTCTGTTCTATTTTAACTACAAACAAAGAGTTTTAAGCACAAATTTTATATATATATGTCTATAAATATAGCTGACATATGATTTAAACATTCATTAGTTACATAAATAAGAAAACAAAACAGGATTTTTTTCTCCTTAGAGACTATTTTTTAGAGCTTAGGGTTTGTGCCATCAGTTGCTGATCGCTCACATGGAGACCAGCTAATTCTCAGGAAGTAGAAGTGTTCCTTTACTGATGCTACCAGTGACCTACTGATTGTTTACTGTCTTATTGATTTCCAATAGTTTTGTAAATTGTGTCAAGGCATTGAGTTCTAGGTGACAGCCCAAGGGTTTTTGCCATCAGTTGCTGACCCCTCACATGGAGACCAGCTAATTCTCAGGAAGTAGAAGAGTGTTCGTTTATTGATGCTACCAGTGGCCTACTGATTGTTTACTGTCTTATTGATACCCAATCTTTTGATTTCTCTAGGTAAACCATATAGTAGTTTACTTTATAGTAGTCTGTTTCTCTCTCAATGTCAATAAAGATCTTCCATGGTTGTCTTTTATATCATACTAGTGCCAGAAGAGGTCAATATCCTATAAGTAGAGGTGTACTGAATTTGATAAAAGGACTCATTTTGCAAATGATCAGAGGACGAACAACTCTGAATTTGTGTGTATTACTGCCTGTGAATCAGTTACAAATATTACATTGGTGGCACTGTTTATTTATGGTTCATTGCTGTTAGCATTCCAGAGGAAAGCTTTCTTTATGGCTTCCAACTCCATCCTTGTGTTGCTTGCTGGAAGCTTGAATGCTTCACCAGCTTTATGCAGAATGCTGGTGCTAAGTGAAACAATGAATGCCGAACCAGCTTTCTCACTGTTTTTGGTATAGGAACTATCTGTGGCTATGATGATATGTGACTGTCTACCATGGTCTTCAAACAGGTGTTGACAGGCTTTTTGTGCTTCACCGTTTGCTCATTCTTTACATTTTCTGTCTAGGTTGGTTTTTACATATCCCAGTGGCATCAAATGTTTATTCAACATGGGAAAATCAGACATCTAGTAGTAATGAATTATTTTAGTGGTGAATGTATATTATCTTTCCACCCATGACTGTCTTCCGAGGTGTTTTTTTGGCACTCTCTTGATTGGCTGGAATGTTTCAGTTGAAAAGGCAGTTGCTTAACATTGATATCCTTGGTTCTTACACTGCAAGGCTCTATAATGTTTCTTCCAGAGGGATAGCAGTGCCCACAAAGGATGGTTACTGATAGCTTTGTCCTCATCAGAATGTCTTTTGTTCAGTATGCAGAACATGGTTGTGGCTTTGGAAGAATTGATGGTCATTCCTATGGAGTTTTGAGTCTGTTTTACTTCACCATATAGTAACCTAAATTAATTTTAGGTATGCGAATAATGTTATGAAAAAAGAAAAGAAGTCTTTAATATATACACCTGGAAAAAAGTTAAGCACCCCCATGTTTTTCAGGATTGCTTATTG